AATTGGAAAAAAGACACTGACGCCAAAATAGTTTACTTACCGAGAAAGATCAGAGACAAAATAGGGTTGCAAATAATTTTATTGATGTAAAAACAACATCAATCATTTTATATCAAAATATTTACAACCCCATTTTGTTTCTGGTTTTGACACATTGTGATAAGAGAAAGAAATGGAATGCATCTAATATGTGCAGTTATTCGAATAATCTTCTAAGAATTTTGGATTATAGGCATTTATTAGCACACCACAATATCTTGTAGTTTTCAGTTTTACGTAGCTGAGGTATATCAATTCGATTTCGATTCGTTTTGCGAACTGTTTTGTCGTAAAGGTACGATGTGTAATGATTTGGCAGGTGCCAAAATTTCACGGACCATGACCGGAAAACAATATCGATTAAACATTTTATTTTATCCATTTCCAAGTAGTTGAGAATTTTTTGGACTCCCTTCAGTTAAAGAATTAGAAGGCATTCATGGAATGTCTCTTTGTCCCCTTTTTAAGCTTCTAATACCTTCAATAGTTCATCTTCTTCATTTTATACAATGTTTGATCGGTGATACTAGTAAAACTTTTAAAGGCAAAAATGTATGTTGCATTTTACAAATAGAAATACGTCTGGAAAAGTATCTTAAATAAAATACAAAATGCATTTCTCAAAAAAGTATTTAAATGCAAGTAATTCAAATAAATCACATTTCTGGTAAATACATACAAAGAATGCTTATCGTACAAAAGATGCTGTAGTTTTTTAGAATCCTGTTTTGAGTGAAACCGACAGGATAGGACAAGATTGATGAACATTATTAATGCTAGTATAACATTCATGTTCAGCTGCAGTATTTTGTAATAATTATTAAGATGATTTTATCGTAACTTCATGTTTTACTACTAAAATCACTACTAAAATAAAAAAATACGACATTTCGGACTGGTTATAATAATATAGTTACATCACGTTCAAACCCAAAATGAAACTATGAAGACCGAAACATTTTCTTTAGTCCAATTTCGCCTATAATTAATGTGTAGTAGTGAATTGAAATGAATGAAAGGCGTCCTGGTTAGGTTGTTAATTATGCTCAAGTCTAGAAATACGTACAAACATTTATTCTGTGACTGTGGCTACGTTTGGAAGACAGACATATTTGTGCATAGTTCGAGTCCGAATTCCTGCATCAAAAAGAACATTTGACCCAAGATTAAATGCTACGTACACCTGTGTTATGGCGTGAATTAGTTTCTCTGATTATTGACACATCTTTTCATTTATACAATAAATATTAACTATCACCCTGTACAAGTTTTTAATAAGTCAATTAGTAAGTCGAGCGCCCTTGAAAGGCTGTTTCGTTACCAATTCCAGTTCCGTTTACTATTGGCGACAGTTGCACCGGTCAATCGCGTTCCTAACATATTTTAGATACAACTTTTTTCCTGTTGTTTCGCACAATCGACCTTTTTTATCTATCATATTTACATATTATAGAAAAACCGTTCGTTACGTATGTTGCTATTCTGATCAGACAGCAGAAATAAATTAACGTTTTATTAATCTGCATACAGTAAATAAGCATAGTCTTTACTTTTCTGAATCGAATATTTTTTGTTCCCTTGACATATATTATAAACTATCTCTTTAATTTGAATTTTTATTTATTAATTTTCTAAGAAAAATCTACCACAGCGATAATCAATCGTCAGAGTTTTTAAGCGGAATTATTACTACCATAAATTTTCACTGCGGCGCTCAGTATTATATGAAAAGCGGTTAAATTGGAATTATTAGATTGTGGTAGGAAAAGACAACATTAACGAAGTAAATATATTGTAGAATATACGGAAAAGCGATGTTTCGAAACAAAAATAAAAAAGCGTGACGGCAAACAAAATATGAAATTTTGGCTAACTGGCACATAACTGGCTGTAATAGAGGTTCGCGTCAGGAAAGTTTGACTACGATTCTTTTTTATCGTCTTTTGGATAGCTCAAAAGTATTCTAAGACTGATAAAAAGGTTACGCTGAGAATTACATTATAAAATTGTTTTTTGTGGAAAGAAAATTACTTCAAGGAACAATCAAAATCGCCTTCTTGTGTGATTCTATATGTATATCTATGTGCAACACACATCACCAGTACAAGGTAAGGTGCTTATTAACTCACGTTTTCATTAGTTTAGCGTCCTAAGTACGCTTCTCATAATGATGCCGTGTAACAAAGACTAGCGATGCAACGCAAGTGTCATAATGAAAACAGAAGCGGAAACAGAAGTAAATATTTATATTTTTAAATTTTTTGTGGAAGCGGATGCGGAAGCGGAAGTGTAAAGATTTTGGGTGACTTTAATGCAGTAGTAGTAGTGTGCGCTTTTCGTGAATTTTTCCTTAAAAATTTTGCATTTAGCACTTGGATCGATAATAACAAAATAATCCCAAATAGAATTTCTTTTTGGTTTCAAAATTGCACTAAAAACTAAAAATTTACACCACTACACAAAAATAAACGCTATAACTGTATTCGTATTTTCTAAATGAAATTATTAGAATTTTTAGATCAAAGTAACAAGAGAATAAAATTTGGAAGCTATCAACATATGAAATACTAAGAAATAGATTTAGATCCTAAACTATAATAAAAATAATTGTACAGGTACAATATTACTATTAGGAAAATTTTGAAGGCTATAAAGCTGTATTGACGGTAATATTTCATAAAATAAACGGTTAGCAATGTTACAGAGCGGTTGCTGAAAGCTGGCGTAGTTACCTGCGCAACATACAGCTTTGCAACAAGCAATTCCATTTCAATTGTGTTTTGAAAACGCCCAAGTTCAACCAACAGAAAAAAGTAATAAATTTTTACGACTTGTTTTATTGCTCCAGTATATAGATTTTCAAAAAGATGATAAATAGAATTTTGTTCAGTTCCGATAAGCTTCCGTTATAATAATGCGGAATCAGATGCAGAAGCGGATGTGAAAACGTATGCGGAACTTCCGTAATTGCCGAAGCAGAAACTGAGGTTAGTTGCAACACTAATGAGGATATCGAAATAGAGAACGTTGGAAATAAAGAGGTATTAGAAACATAGGAGAACTCTATGGAAATCAATAAGAAATATGCGAGTTAGGTTCGTAGGACATCTTCTCAGGCATGAAGAGCTAGTTAGAGACATATTAGAAGCAGAAACAGAAGTTAAGAGGAGTAGATAAGATTACTGCTCACAAATAGTTAAGGATGTGGGATGTTCTAGTTTTAGTCTTAGGACTTACCGCTTATGATGATGATAAATCAAAATGTCGTTTCAAGAGAAGCAAAAGGGCATGACCAAAGCAGTGATTGTAGAAACGTATTATTTCTTTTATTATTATGAACAATGAGCGTAGTCGGTTACGCGAAATTAAAATGTTATATAATATTGTGAAAACAAATCTTATCGAAAACGTTTTTATATCCGTTTAATTCATTATTTGAATCGGTACTAAAACGGGAATATAAAATTTTTGAATGCACATCACTGGATTTGTGGTTCACTCTAATCATAAATATACACAAATTTAACAGAAACTAAGGAAACATTAAAAAATATATTTATTAAGTTACAAAGGTTTTGAAAATCCATGTGTATTACTAACGACTAGCGAAGTATACCTAATAATTTAAGCTATGTATTTCGCCATCTATAGATTCATATAATTATTTATTTAATCTTATAAATAAAAAATCATTGTAAATAAAGTCGAAGGCATCAGGTAATATGACTAGGCAGGGTGCAAAAATGATTTGTCATGCGACCAGTCTTTATGTGGATGATACATTTAAAAGCTTTTACCAAATATTTACTTTCCACGCATTGCAAAAAGATCATTATGTACCTCTTCCATGTACTATTTCCTGAATGAGAACGAATTTTGTGATTATATGTATCCACTAGAAAATTTAAATGTATATCTGAAGAGGCAGCTTTTCCCCCAAAAATAAGAGCAGAGCTTTCTTTTACGATTTACGAATGATAGGTACTAATCTAATTTTTTTGTTATAAAACATACTGTAGCGAGCACGAGTATGTTTGTGTGCGATCAGGCACACATGTGCGTGAACGGCTTATCGATTCGCCGAATAGCCGCGGGCGCCTTTCTTAATGTGCGCCGTATTTGTAAATGTGTGTGTCGTACCTACGTTCTGGGAAAGCAGTTAAATAGTTCAAAGAAATAGGTAAATTATCGAGATGTTTCCAGAAGGTTCTAGAAAGTAAACAAGAGTATTTAAAGGAAGAGACGATCGCCGAGATGAGGAGAAACAAATTGACCGTTGCAGAAGTTAATCCAGAAATAAATTGAGAGTGATAGCAGTGAAATAAAAAGCGTAGTGAATAGTAATATGTCAATATTAATGTAAATAAATAGTTTTTGTCGTTATCGGTCTTAGAAGTTAATTTTGTTAAACCCACGAACATTACAGTACGATAAAATATTATTATAAGGTTTGCAAAATTTTCAAACCGTCGCATTACATTTACAACACCCAGTAAGTACAGGTATATATATAAATCCCGTTCGACATATATGTATTCCAGTGTCAGGAATAAAAGAAAACAAAACATTAAGTTTCTATAATACGATGAAAAAAGTGGAAAATAGGTTTAAGGATAACTGCAATGTCGTGCTCCAACTTGCCCTACTTACTGATTCCATTTTGAAGATTCACTAACATTATATTTTTGTGGATATACCTAAACGAAATTATGATTTCTTGGTTAGAAACGTGCAGACATAAGCTGCTTATTATTAATAAATAATAGGATAGCAAAAAAATATATAAATCTGTATTTTTTGGTAGTTATTTCTCAATTAATAAATATTATTAATCAATACCATTTCCTACACTGCTACCTACTTATTAAAAGTTTGTATAAATTAAATGGACCGACCCTGATGTATCAGATATATCTTTTAGCAAAATTTCAGTTGGAAAAGTTCTACTGTGCACTACATACCTGATTGTCTACAGGATAAACTATCTTCTGTACTCAATAAAAAATGGTGTATCTGCAACAATAAAAATAAATTAAGAAATCAAATGCCTAACAGTCGATTATTGTATTCATTATAATTAGATATGTTCAAAATGGTTTTCTAAAAGTATTTAAATACAAAAAGGAAATACTTTTTTAGTTTGTTATTTCAAATGTAAAATACAAAACAGATTTCCCTTTTGTAAACGGAAACTGGAAAAAGATAGAAGTGTATGGAAAGAGCTGGAAAATTTAAGTAAAACCACTGATAAACGAAAATAAATAGAAAAAATGAGCAACAGGAATATAAGAAAATATGGAAAGAAAGGGAGGGAAAACCAAATTATTTGAAAGACGAAAATGAAAATTAGTTTTAACAGTGAGATTTAGATTGGGAAGAGAAAATAGGACGCCAAGGCACTGGGAAGAAGAAGAGACGAAAATATGCGGATTGTGTAAATTGGAACCACAGACGTTCGAACACATTTGTGATATGTGGAAAAATAGGAAATGGAGCAAAAAATGGGAAACCCAAATAGAAGGAAATAGATGGTCTAAAAATGATGATGGTAATATTATGGGGGAGGAAAATAGCAGAAAAGAAAGAAGAATAAAAATATTTTGTTGTTTTTCTTGTTAAAATTGCACAAAAAAGTGATAAAACAAACGTCATTTGACACATAAATCAAAGACAGAAGATCCAAACCATAAAGATTTGTCACAGTTCCAAGGGATTGTAGACAAGAGTCAAAAGACGACATGAGTACTTTGTTATAAAACTCCTGATTCTTGTATATTATTTAGATAAGGCGTATTATATTTAATCTGACAATAAGCAGTCTGAATAATACGCATGTGTAAGGTCTTTTCCTTGGGAAAAAAGTTAACCAGTCAAACAATACAAAGTTAGTTCCTGAGTAAATGTAAAAACGGTAACAAGTACCCAAAAAATCTCGTGGCTCCTTACGAATCTCCGGTTAAAGGTAATAAGAAATAATTATAACTAACTAATCTAATTAAACAAGTGCTCCAATTATAAATAAATAAAATACTTTTCATCATCATCATAAGGTCGTCAGTCCTCAGATTGGTTGGACACGCACCTTCACTCCTTTCTATCCTGAGCTAAACTTCGCATTTCCCCAAAATTAGAACAAGCCACATCCTTAACTATTTGCAAACAGTAATCTAATCTAATCGTAAGTCTACCTCTACTCCTCTTAACTGTCGTTTCTGCTTCTAATATACTTATGACTTTCATGCTTGAAAAGGTGTCCTACTTAACCTATCTCGCCTATTTTTTTGACTTCCATAGAGTTCTCTGTTCTCTTATTCTTTCTAATACCTCTTCATTTCTAACCTTCTCCATCCACAGTATCCTCATCATTCGCCGGTAACAACACATTTCGAACGCTTCTAACTTTTTTCGTAGCGTCCACCCTCCATCTTTTGCACTCATACAGCACCGCGCCCCAAACATACCTTTAAAGGTGTAACCTCATGCTGACGCTTGAAGCTAGCTTTGAGCGTCAAATCACATCACGTGATCAATTTAGGTTATGCTACCACCTAGAAAAAATCTTGTAACTTCAAATCGTAAAAAGCTAAACAATAATTAGCTTTTTATTTTAATGATCAACAGTTAATTCAGAATGTATATAATCGAACTCGATAGTAATCGATATTGAAAAAATTCCAATGAAAAAACCATGTCCCCGCCGTAATTTGAATAAAGGATGAATCCATTTTTTTTTTTNAATTTTAAACAATATAACAAATTCATTGCATAACAAAGCACTAATAATTCTTTTACGCCTGATTTTTTTCCTTATTTCAGCTTCACGAATTATTTTTTGGTACTGATAAATCCACAATTGATAATCATAATCGCCTCCCATCGAAATTTCGATTAGTTAGTTATGTTTGATGTAATATTTTACTAATTTTCTACAATGTTCAATATTAATTGTAGTTATGTTTTTTGTTTACAATTGTCACGTGCTATTATAAAAATTAGGTTAAAGGTAAGTATATATCGAGATATCGACTTGCGGTTTTTTCTCTGGTTATTTTTTTAGATTGACGCTGACGTTTGACGCCAGACATGATTCTACTAATCTCAGTTAGGTGGAGCCATAATTTGACGCTCAACGCTAGCGTCAAACGTCATCATGAGGTTACAACTTAACAGTCTTGTTCGAACTAAAATTTAAATCTTTTCAAAACCACCTAGCCGGAGAGTTGTAACTTAACTCCTGATGACTATTTGATATCAATTTCAACTTGACACTTTAACATGTTCCTGAGAAAAAGGGTCTTGACAGATGCAACAAAATAATCGTGTAAGGGTTCGTTTCTACCTTTTGAGGAATGAAACCCCAAAAATAACCACAAAGAAATGTATGATTTCTATGTTAGGAGAACATTTTGCTTTACCTGTATATTAAGAATGCTTTCTATAGAAAAGTTGTAGAACATAAAAAGGCCAGTAAAAAGGTTCGTGACGACGTATATATCTATGTTATGTCTTAATTCACAAATTGTTAAAATATGACTATTATAGTCATAAAGTGAATTCCAAGCGGACGAAGCCGCGGGCGCACAGCTACTACTTAATATATGAAATGTGTCTGTGGTGATAATCAAATTTGAGCTATAAACTCAGAGGCAATAACACTAAAATTCCAGCTTGTCGTACCTACTCATTTAACTGGAGCACATTCCACGCGATTTTATCGAAATATCACCTTGAGTTGCATAACAACTAACATTTACTAATTACATATTATGACAATGTAGGGCGAAAGCAGCTGGCGAAAGTCAACGAGTCTTAAAATCAAATGTTGACCTCTTAAAAAACTAAAATGACGAAGTACCTATAGGTTTTTTATGATATCATTACATTAATGTGCACTTTAATTACACGTCGTAATTATAATAGCGTCAATTGATTAATATTCACATACATCAGTGACAAATGGGATGAATCATTAGTAATAAAATTTGAATTACAGTCGAACCTGGGTAAGCGAGAATCCAAGGGACCCGAATATTATTCTCACTCATAGAGTTTTCTCATTTATAGAGGTTAATAAAAATCGAACATAAACATGGTGCTAGAGCGTTAAGAACTAGGTAATACATAAGTATATATACATTTTGCTATAAGTAGGTACTTATTTTATTTATTTAAAGAAATCAGTTAATTTTTTCTGAGTATCCTTTTTACAGTTTTAAATATGCTTTTCATTTTATAAATTTTATCAAAAATCAACGTCACAACACTCAAAAAAAGTTTTTTGAAAGATATGTCATGTCGCCTTTTAAAACCTTCTAACCAACCAACCATTACTAGCTGAAAAATTTTGTATTCCCAGTTTTAAAGCAAACATCCATCTATGGGAATATTTTTATCTAGGGTCTGTTTAATCCATTCTACGATACACTCTTCGACGTGGAGAAATTCAACAAGTTTGTTCCTCTTAATATCAGGTGCTTATTAAATTATTACTACTAGTGTTTTTCTCTTTCTGGTAAAATTACATATCGCTATTATGCGGCAACCGGGCAAACCTAAAAAGTGCCGGAGATCCGCCGGGTACTATACCCAAACCGGATACCTGTCCCATTTCTAGTTTGGACAGGTTCAACTAGTATCCTAGTAATTAGTTTTAGATGACACGAGTAATAACGTAACTTTTGTGAATAAATATACAGCGATTATGTAGAAAATTATTTCTATTGCAAATCGATTAATGTTTACTATTACAATTATCCAGTCACAGACGTTTTATTATTACAATCAAAGTAAGTAAGAAAGAAAGGCAAAAATGAAAACAATCAATATCGATTTTGATTCAACCGTCCCGATAGAAAGCTACCAAATATTTTTTAGTGTTGAACACAAAAAAAGCTTTGCTTCAATATCATCCACTTACACTCTACAACGATACAATGCCAACATAAACCTCTAACGTAAAGCAAACGAGTAATTTGTACGCAACGAAGCGGTACTAACGGAAAAAATTAGTGAACGTAATAACGGATCTCGACTGCATTTTTTTAGATCAGTTGTTTCAAAAACTAGGGCGGCATACGAGAATTGCAAATGATTTATCAAAGAAATGAGGCAGACAACATGCACCCACACATTTATTATATATAGTATGCCCCAGTTATCATGAATTTCAGTGAACTAATAAATAATCAAAAATACTATTTGTGTCTACGATTAGTTCCGATTTGTCAGCTAGTAGGACACCTTCTCAGGCATGAAGGATTAGTCAGAGATATATTAGAAGCAGAAACGGAAGTTAGGAGGAGGGGTAGAGGTAGACCTAGATTAGATTATCATCATCATAAGGTCGTAAGACTGGTTGGACACGCACTTCCACTCTTTCCTATCCTGAGCTAATCTTCGCATTTCTCTAAAATTTGAACAACCCACATCCCTAACTATCTGCGAACAGTAATCTAATCTAGGTCTATCTCTACCCCTCCTAACTTCCGTTTCTGTCTCTAATATGCCTCTGACTAGACCTTCATACCTGAGAAGGTGTTCTACTAACCTATCTCACCAATTTTTTATTGACTTCCATAGAGTCCTCTGTTCTCCTATTCTTTTTAATACCTCTTCATTCCTCTATCCACGGTATCCTCTTCATTCGTCTGTAATACCACATTTTGAACGCTTCTAACCTTTTCTTTTCCTCTGCGCCCACTGTCCATGTTTCGCACCCATACAACGCCGTGCCCCAAACACATCTTTAACAACCTTTTTCGAATTTTGCGACTCGATGCTGCGCTATCCTCTACTTTATATCCGTGCTACTCCTTCCGTCCTGACTTATCTGACTTCCTAGATACTTAAAATCGTCCACATCTTCTAATTTTTCGTCTCCTTTCTTTATATTCGCTCTTTCCCTACTTTTTCTTGCCTTGCATACCAGTACTTTTGTTTTACTTTTATTTATTTTCATTCTAGATTAGATTAATGTTCGCAAATAGTTAAGGATACCTAATGAAAATTGGGAT